TACTATTATTATGTATTATTATTTATTACTTAAACACTATATATATGTATATTGTTTATTTACTATAAATATATATAAGCAATAAATACAATATAGTTTGGCCCAGATTCGACAAAATTGAAATGTAAAGCCGAGGCTTAAATAAATAAATAAAATATGCTTGAATGTTGTCAGCAGTGAAAGTGGAATTGTATTAGTGTGGAATAGTATTAGTATATTATATGTATAATAAACACAGAAAAGGCTGACATTTTCAAATCTAGCGAGAAAAAGCGAGCATATCAGTACTGAGCAACGACTTTAGATTTTCGCTCTCTCTTTCTCTTTCTCTCTCTCTTCTGTGCACTTTTTCTCTCGACACTTGCACTGAACTAAATAAGTTTCGCATCAAAGTAAATGATGACCCATAAATGAATGGGTCATTCCACCACGATTTTGCTGTTGCCACTGTTGCCTTATTGCCCTCCTTGCCAATGAAACTGTTGTGGCATAAATTGTTGCGCTCTTCTCTGTTTTGGTAAACAAACCAAGTGCAATCCATATGGCATATGGATTAATGTTTGAATTACCAAAGCAAAGCTAAACCTAAATGTTCTCTGTGTACACTGGCAATGTGCACATGAGCGAATTGATGTCCATGTGTATGTGTGTGTGTGTGTGCGTGTATAAATAACAATGTGTTTCTTCTAGTGCAGTCATTAATTAAGCTTATAGCTTTGTTGTGGTTTTTAGCTACTGCAGACGCCACCTACCGGCAGTTTTGTGTAGGGCATTGAAAGTAATCATTATGACTCACACTCTAATACGTTTTACCGTTATGTACCACATACATACATAACATTTCAATTATCTTGGCTTATCAATGGAAATACGTATCTACGTGTCTATAAAGTACAGAGATATTACCAAATCAAATTGATAAGAGTAAAATATAATGAGTAAAAATGAGTAAACACATGCATTCATATGTACATACATGGATATGACCAACTTCAAGAAATAATTGAAATAAATAAAAAATAAACGTATGGGGTGTCATTCATACAATATATATTTTATAGCCATATATGTACATTTATAGACATTCAGATATTCATATCTATCGAAGAGCATTTACCGTTCGTCGTGTCCACATTTCTTGTCGTTAATTATTATTAATTTGAATGAATAAGTAAACAACAATAAGCGTCTTGGGGGGAAATAATGTAATGCGTATTATATTCATTTAATTCGACGCACTCACTGGACGCTCAAGGCGAAAACCAGACCAGTATTGTTGAGATATTTTACATATTGTATCTATCTACGCATCTACTATATAGTTTATCATTCTAAGAAAACTCAGTGCGCAATAACTGAAATTGGCTCTTGGCCAGTTTTTGATCTGTTTTCAAAAGAAATATGTATTCATATATTTTTACAAATTAACAATAATGTGTAACAACTAGAGTTGGTCGTACATTTACATGTCGTACACTATAAATGCCGTGATTTTGATGGTAACACGCGTGACTCCTGAGGAGCTGGCGATACTTAAATGTATACAATTAATTTATGTATGAGAGATATACATAGATAGGATATGTTGATAGGCTCTAGTATTTTTATATCTTGTCTGGAAGGAAAATGCTGCTTGATACTATTCAAATAATTTTTGGGATAGGATATTTAGCCTTTCGTACAAGTTTTTGCAATGGAAATTTAAAATATTGAATACAGTTAACATTAYATTACATTTCATAAAGATGAATGAGACTTTGACTTGAGATCAAATAAATACACATATAAATATTTCTTATTGAACAAGCAGAGCATTAGAAATTAATGAAATCAATTTCTCTATATTGATATCTAATTATTGCTGTAAAAAATAAACCTTAATTTAAGAAATTATTTAATTTCTATAGGATATGTAGAATATGACAAAAGTTATCAATGAAGCCAAATAGGAATTCGTCCTATATTTCAAAGGCATGGCAATTTCAAATCATATATAATTCCTCTTGGTACCTGGTAGCTCCAACTAATATGACCCAAAGTCGCTTGGGCATGGATCTTACCTAGCTTGTGATTTTCCTTGGCGTCTTCGCAGCGTCGCACGACTCGTATCACTCCGCGTCCGGCGATTGGCGAGAATGTGACAATGCCGCCGATTCTGGCTATGTGTGGGGGTAGACGTGGATCTGTTTCTGTGTCCAAAAAAAAAACATTTGTGGCCGCAGAATTGGAGTCTGCCTCGACGTTGTCTCTGTTGAAAAAAAAAATCCCATTAACATTGCCATCGCCGTGGCCATTGCCATTGCCATTGTTATAAAAAAAAACATTTGATCGATCCTCTCCATTGCCTGTTCCATTGTTGTTGGAGATGTAAAAAAAAACGTTGCCGAACGGGCGCATAATTCAATTTGGAGATCCTTCCGATGCTTAAAAAAAAACAGTGCGATTATTTCTGAATTGGTCTATTGCCACCAGAACACAAGTGTAAAAAAAAACAATTCTATTTCACTTCAACTTCAATTAAAACAAAAACTACAAAAAAAAAAAAAAAACACACAGCGAATCACTTTAATATTTTTTATTATTATTATTTATAGTTGTATTACGAACAATTCATTCGATTGCATTACAGAAAACAGCTTTGAATTAAATTCGCGATCACCAACTGAACGTCACTCTCTTGCGCATTGAAATATTGAAAATTCGTTTTACTTTCGGTTTTTATAGCACGGAAGAAGAAAGAAAAACTGCGCACAACAAAACAAATGGAAAATAAAATAAAATGGCAAGAAAAGCAACAAATCGGCTCGACAGCAAACATATCTATACTCTTTCCAACAGCGAAACACTGAAGAGTGCTTATAAAGATAGGGAAAGCCATCGATGTACGTATGTATATAGAAGGGCATATTGTAAAATATATGCATATGTATGTGAGTGCCAGTCTCAGAGCAATACTTGTGCGACTAGTATATATATCTATATAGACGCACTATATATATATATAGTGATTGACACTAGACCTTTAGAAGCTGCTATAGTTAATCTGAAATCATCGGAATTGTGCTTGATATATGTATATAAAATTCATTTTCCATTTGATTCTTTTTCAGTTACATAAATAATGTTGTGGCATTGCAACTCGTGCGCGGTTAGGGTATTATATGGCATGCTACAAAATCTTGTCTTGTCATCGTAAGAGCAATACCCCCAGTTATAAACAGTCTTTCTCTTGGTCTGCTCGGTTCTGACAACGGAAAAGTGTAAAAGTTCAACACGATCGAGAGAAACATAGAGCTAACTAGAGAGAGAGGGAGAGAGCGAGAGCAAATGAGAGAGAGAGGAAATGAATCAATGCGAAATTGAAGCGTATTCGTTCAAAATATACCCATATATATATGAATATATATTTGTATATATAGAACGTAGCTCTGACGCATAAATTGCGATGTTTGGATAACGGAACTATTGTATACATTTTCCGCACACTTGCCAATGTCATTACATATATGTATGTATGTGTATGTGGGCATGAATTTACACATATGTATATGTATGTATTGTATACAATATCTATGTAATTGCCTATGGATACTTTATCTTTACCAAGAACAATAAGCAGAGATTGTGGGAACACTGACAATCATATGTTGTATAAATATATTGAAAGCCTTGTGGACATGTTGCAAGGGAATATCTTTATCAGATATGTATGTTTATATTAATATCAGTAATCAAAAATTAATAAATTGTTATGTTATAGGTATGAAAAAAAAAATAGTAAAAATTAAGTACTTGAAATTGATGAATATACTATAAAATAATATTTGTAATTTCAAATCTTAATTTGATCCGATTAAAATCRCTAAATCACTATAAATATAAAATTAAATATATTTATTAAGAATACAAATCTATATAAAGGTTAACAAACAAATAATGTGTTACACACTTTATGATGAAATTAGTCCACTCACTCTGTGTCAGGGTATTACCAACGAGCTTTACAGCTTTTGTGCTTTAGCATTTCTAAACGTTTTCCTCAATAAGCTTACACGCAATATATTATTAGATGTTTATGCACGATACCCACTAAAAGTGTGTATGGCTAGGTAGGGTCTACCCTGCCTGTGGCAGTGAACAAAATGCTAGCACATAGATGCGTCCCCAAATATTATCATGCCAGACATATAAAGAAGATATTAGGGCTAAGAATTTC